AATGGTATTTGGGTGTGTGCGTGACCTATTAGAGGTCGATGGATAGGCAGTTTATTGGTGGTCGCCGATACTGGTGACGGGTGAAAATGGAATCTCTGTGTGTGTGTGGCCTATTAAGGGTCGAGAGATAGGCAGTTTATTGGTGAGCGCCGATCTGGTGACGGGTGATAATGGTATCTGTGTGTGTGTGGCCTATTAGGGATCGAGGGGTAGGCGGTTTATTGGTGGTCGCCGATACTGGTGACAGGTGAGAATGGAATCTGTGTGTGTGTGTTGCCTATTAAGGGTCGAGAGATAATCGGTTTATTAGTGAGAGCCGATACTGGTGACGGGTGAGAATGGTATCTGTGTGTGTGTGTGGTCTATTAGGGGTTGAGGGATAGGCGGTTTATTGGTGGTCGCCGATACTGGTGACGGGTGAGAATGGAATCTGTGTGTGTGTGTAGCTTATTAGGGGTCGAGAGATAGGCAGTTTATTGGTGAGCGCCGATACTGGTGACGGGTGAGAATGGTATGTGTGTATATGTGTGGCCTATTAGGGGTCGTGAGATAGACGGTTTATTGGTGATCGCTGATACTAGTGACGGGAGAGAGTATTTGTACGGTTAGGGAACGTCGATGGGCGGTCACAATTAACATGCATAATTTTTAAATTACGAAGGATAAGTATTAGGTTGAGTAGGTGGAGTACATATAGGACCCCTGAGTTCCCTATTATTGTATATGATGCTTATAACTTAATTTTTACTGTACTGAGTTGTATATACTCACTCCTTATTATTTACAGATGAAGTAGGGATGGAGTCGGGATTGGAGTTGCTGATTTCCGAGCCTAGTGGATAGAGGAACATGACAATAATGTTTTCGTTATTTGGCATGATTGAGTGTGTAATAACTAGTAATATGGTAGATAGTGTGTCTGTTGAGAGTCTGTGAGATTATCCTTCACTGTAATATTACATGTAGGGTTACATGTTTATTGTGACTTTGAATAATAGATTGCGGTAAGGTTTCTATGTTTGTGGTGGATTTGGAATGATGCGTTCATATATGGCCGTTGAATTGTCTTAGCTTACGCCATTAAGAAAAAAAAACGGAGCGTTACATGTAATTGACAAACTTTTACATAGTAATTTAAAATAATAAGATCGCACGTATTATATTTTAACTTTAACTCTATTATTTTAATTTTATTAAATTTTACATAGCAGTTTAAATTCATAAAATTGTAGATATTATGATTTTCTATGTTTTATATAGTTTAAGGAGAGAAAATAAACTTTTAGATAGTCAAGTGAAATGAAATTACTAAGGCAAAGAGAAATAAAATTGAGCTCGAATATTGAAGTTTATATATTTCTTTTTATTATAATATATTTTGTTTTAAGTTTTAGTATTTCATTTAGTAGCTCAAGAATATGTTTTCCTAACTTAAATGTTTGAAAACTTTTTTAATAAATTATTTAAAATTTAAAAAGTAAGAAAAATGAGATTTACGGTAAATATATTAATTTGTAAATATGACCATGTTAAAATAAATCATAGCTAGGAATATTTATTATATCATACTTGTCTTTGACTATTATTCTTTTAAATAATTTCAAAATAAAATTTATTTTAATTAAAATAATCATTATTAGTTAATAATTAAATATAATATTTTATTTATTTAAAAAAAATGAAGTTTGAATCTCCGCGCTCTATTCTCTATAGATGTAATTTTATCTTTTTATTTTTAAATTTTTTATTTAAATTTTGTATTTTTATACTAAAAATATATCAAAATAATTAAATTTATGAAAATAATAATATTATATAAAAAATTATTGATCGAAATTAATTTGTCAAAACACAAAATACTACAGTAAAAAAATAAATTTAACTCAGTAATAATGAAATACGATAATAATAATTATAATAGTATGAATTGTTTGAATAATTTATTCATTTAAATAATATCGTAGTTTAACTTTATTTTTAAAATATTTAAATATAAAATAATATTTTACGTAATGTTATAATTATTGTCATTATTAATTATATTGGAGTTGTATAAATTAATTATTGAAACGTACAAATAATACATATATCAACTTATTTTTTATTTATTATTTTAATTATAATTTTGTATTTTTTATTATATAATTTTTATATTTTATACATATTTTTATACCGAATGTCATTCGTACAAAGAATGAAAAAAAAAAAATTAATAACTTGTAGATTAAAATGTATTTTTAATTTTAAAATTGATGAATTTTAAATGTAATGCTCTAACTTTTAATGAGCAAAGTGTAATTTGCCTAAAAATAAATAAAATTTAAATAACTTTAAAAACATTAATTAATACATATTAATGTGGTTAAATATGATAATATTAATCTTTATTTTTTTTGAAATCAAATATTGATATTTAATTTTATATATATAATTTTAATGGAGAATATTATAATATATAATTTACGCGGTCAAATAATTATGCATCAAGTGCTTTGTTGAGCATGGAAATATGACTTCATAGAGAATTTAAACAAAATAAAAATTTCATAAAACTGAAAATAAAACATTGGAGAGAAAAAAAAAAATCCAAAAGTAGAAACAAAGAATGATCCTTCAGTGATCTGAAAGGACAATAAACCCCCTTTAGAAAGTTGTTGCGCTTTCAGCAGATATGGGCATTTTCGGTACTTGACATTATACTGTCGGCAATTTAAGTCACCTGAGTCTCACGTCATTCCTGTTTAATAATCAGGTGCGCCCAACACCTGAGAAGTTTCATACGTGGCGAGATGATGATCGTCCACGTGACAAGGAAGTGTACCTTAAAGCTTCTGTGAAGCCGCTTCATCTGATTTTTTTGTTTCTTTGTGCCCAAGAGAGGAAAGGATAAAGTATTGACGTGTTATTAAATTCTTTTTTTTTTTTAAATAAGGAAATTAAATACCGTAAGAAGCGATATTTCTTTGTAATTATTTAAATTTGTCTTTAATTGATTTTTTAAAATTTTTTTATTAATTAAATGAAATTAATGACAGTGACTGTACTATACTTTGCGTTGCCTGTCGGTCACTCTCCATCTCAAAAATGAAAAATCGCCTGTGCAGGCAAAAATTAAGTAACGCATGTTCAGATCTCCCTCCTTATCTGCATTGATATCTACAAATGGGATTACTCACACGAAAAGTCAATCACACAAAAGCACGTAGGATAATAGATCGGCCAGGGACGTTATAGTCATTTTGTGTTCTAATTTTTTTAGCTTCTTATGTGATTTTTCTTTGTTTGATATGCCGGAGGAATTGTTTCTGGAGGAAAATACGAGGTCGTTGAAGGTGGGTTTGCTTGGAAGTTGAGTAATAGGGTGAGGAAAGAACGAGAAAATTACGTTTATTGGCCGTTTGGTTACTGGGAAAAGTGGGGGCGGTTTTTCTGCTGGTAGGAAGGAAACGGAGATGGGTTTCTTGAGTACTATATTGGGTTTTTGTGGATTTGGAGTTGGGATTTCAACGGGGCTTGTGATCGGGTATTACCTCTTCATCTACTTTCAGCCTAGTGATGTTAAGGTTTGCTTCTTTCTCTTATTCATTTTCCTCTCAGTTCAGACGAATCTTAACTGTTTGTAAGCTAAAAATTAATGTAGATGTTTGGCTTAATGTCTTGTTTATCTTTTTTTGTAATTGTTTGTTTGATGAGAAATGCAACGAGGAAAAACACATACTACAATTGCATTACGTTAACGGCTATGGCGAATGGCTTGTTAGTAGGTTATCTTCTGGTGGAGAGCCTGTGGGTGATGAAAATTAGATTGTTCATTTGGATTTTGATGATACGGAGAAAATTTCAGAGGGATCCTTTGTAAGTAGAAACTGATGAATTAACAGAAGAAAAGTTTTTAAATAAGCAGCATATTAGAAATGATTGAATTGTGGGTTGGTCAGTAATGGGAAATTCCATCAGTTGAATTGATGGCTATCTGACAGGTTTTCTGAGATAATTGTAATGGCTGGTAATTTTTTTGACTGCTACATTTACTGAAACTTTCCCCTTCAACCTTTTGTTTATGCTTCTTGTTTTGAAGTTTTTTGATATGTGCCAGAGTGAGTAATTTGCTAGTGAATAATGGTTTATACTGGCCATATGATGTGAGAATTCGAGAATTGTTTTTTGTCTTGCATCATGAATTGTTTGGTTCATATCTCTGCATGGTCAGGATCCTAAAATTCGTCCATTAGTTGATCAAGACTCAGAGAGTTTACTGCGAATGCTTCCAGAGATACCTCTTTGGGTGAAAAATCCTGACATTGATCGGGTATGTAATTGGTGTCTATGGCATTTAGTTTTTGCTGCTTTACCTCTTAGGTCTTGATTCTCTTATCTGACAATTTTTTCTTCTAATACTATGAAGGTAGACTGGCTAAAATGGTTTATTGAACACATGTGGCCGTTTCTTGACAAGGTTTGATTTCTATGTATGTATACTTGTGCTCATATTCTCTTAGTAGCTTGTCCCTTCTGCTTATTTATTTGTGAATATGTTTTTCTTTGAACTTATTATGATGTAGGCCATCTGTAAGACTGCAAAGGATATTGCAAAACCCATAATAGCAGAGCAAATTCCCAAATACAAAATTGATTCTGTTGAATTTGTGACTCTTACATTGGGTTCTCTACCTCCCACCTTTCATGGTTAGTAAATGGAATATCTCTCTTTGATAGCCTTGATATTTATGAAATCTTGATGAAATTTTCTTTTGGCATGTTAATAATAGTAAAAGACTGGTAAATGCAAACTTTTGTTCCTTAAACATTATATTAATATCTACTTTGAAATACTATTTGGCCTTGAACTGGTGGTCTGAGTTTACAACTTGTTGAAGAGAGGGGACAAAGATGGGGTTTAATGTAGTTTATGTAGTAAAAATAGGTAATTTTCTAGATAAGATGTAAACAATGGAGAAATTTTGTGACCCTTTTTCCTTTATATCCATACATTGCCTTGGTTTTCTGGTTTGTGGTGAATAATCGTAAAATCTCTGGTGTCTAGCCAGTGCATATTTTTGACAAGGAAGTGGGAATAAGAAGAACATTTGGTCTACTTTTTCGTTGATGTATGTCTTGTAGCATGAACAAATAATCTGTATCTATTGTCACTCTGATAGAAATGGGAGAAAGGGAAGTGGGTGTTATGTGAAGAATATCATCAATGAGAATCTGGATTTTAGGTGTTACATGTGATTTATATTTCTTGGCTTCTCCTATTTCCTCTCTCCCTTTACTTTTTACATTCCTTCCTTTTTCTGCAAGGTGGGGGATAAAATGTAACTGTATTTGGTTGTTGTTCTGCTGTGAAGAGATTTCTGCTGCTTGGGAATGGAAAGAAGGAAGAAAGAGTGATCTGGATCATTTTATATCTAACCTAATTTCATTACATTTAATAGAGCATGGTGCATAGAAAGTTTCTTTCTCGATCCTTATTGTTGGAGAAAATTCTTCTAACCACATATTTTTGCTCTTTGCAGATCATTAAAGATTTTAGATCTGGCATAATAATCTGAAAAATATAGTACTTGTGCATTAAGCTTTTCTGTTCTATTTCCATTTATTGAATTAATAGTATCCTAAGTATTTGTGATGCCTGTGCATTGGGCCTCTAAATGGGTAGTTTGGTGCCTGCTTTTTGTTAACATGCTTTTGGTCAATGTGATATATATATATATATATATATATAAATATCCTTTTTCTGTCAATAGCTAATGTAATTTATATGATTACCATATAGCAGAGCCCCTTCTGCAGTTTTCCTTTAAGTTACTCTTTTCTGTGTTTTCACTTAAAGATAAGATAAAATGCCAGCAGCAATTTGAAATAATATATTACCTTAGGTTAAAGTAATTTGTAATATTTTGTTTACTAAAGAAGTTAGCTTCTTTATTCAACTTTTTTCCTGACATGTCCTACCTATTGTTTTTCATTTTCTGTGAACTCTATTCTTTTCAGGCATGAAAGTCTATGTCACTGATGAGAAGGAGTTGATAATGGAACCTTACTTGAAATGGGCTGGAAATCCTAACATAACTATTGCAGTTAAAGCATTTGGGTTGAAGGCCACAGTCCAGGTAATAACATTCTTCCACTGGACGTAACTGAAATTACTTGTATATGGAAGATAAGTTTAATAATTACTGTCATTAATAATATTTTATCTGAATTGTTTTTAGGTGGTGGATTTGCAAGTTTTTGCCTTACCACGTATTACTTTGAAGCCTCTGGTTCCAAGCTTTCCTTGTTTTGCCAAAATACTGGTCTCTCTCATGGAAAAGGTTTGTGGTATTTGAAATGACGGGATATAATGTTGTAGCTAGGACTTATCTGCACTTTGTTAAATTGATGCTTTGATGTGTGGATGACCTTCCCAGAGATTAAAGACTTGGCCTGGTGATCGGGCATCTTGTTCAATGATGAATTTCAAAACAGAAATGTAATAGGTGTTCTGTGCTAAACCATAATGCCAAGATAAACTGTTGTCTAGTGACATGGAAGATTGATTTTTTTTTTCTCTTTTTACCTTGTAAGTTTGGAAGAGATATAACTGTAGAAGTCCAATTCTTTTACAGATTGGTATCTTCAAGAAAATTTCCATATAAAGCAGAATCATAGTCTACTTCCATATTTGGAAGATCTTTTCCTTTTATGGGATTAAGTTTTACTCAGTTTTCTATTAAAAAAACTCTCTCTAATCTTCTCCTATATATCTAGTTGTCGTAAATTAAGTAGTATGAATAAAAATTCAATTTAATATTCTCTTATATATATATCTAGCTGTTATAAATTAAATATTATGAATAAAGATCCAGAAAACAAAAAATTTAATTGCATATTTTCAGTATCTGTAAGGAAATCTCCCAATAAAGCAGAATCATAGTCAATTTTCATAATTGATTTTTTTTACTTTTATTGGACTGATTTGTATTTAATTTCCTGTTAAAATTCTTTTAAATTTATTTTTTTAAAAGTTCAATAAACAGAAAATCTAATTACAAATTTTTAATTCTATATCCTGCCACATTAAATTTGGAGGTGTTGGGTTAACATTGAGTTAGTCATTCCAACTCTTCATGCAGATGTGTTGTTTTGATTGTTGTTCTTCTGACTTGTAGCCACATGTGGACTTTGGACTGAAGCTTATCGGCGCTGATCTTATGTCAATACCTGGCCTTTACAGATTCGTCCAGGTATGTTTTGATCTTCTTCTGCTTTCTCATCCTGATAATCCTAGAATTCGATTTTCTAGCCTTGGATGAATTGGTATAATTTGAGCCCTAATATCAGATAGACTGAGTTTTCAACTTAAAATAATCATATTGTCCCCCTATTTTGTGCTACATGGCTCCTTGTTTTGTTCAATTTGTTAATGTTTTAAATTCCAGCAGTGAATTATATTCTTTGGAAGAGAAAAAAGATAAGCTGTTTTGCAAAATGACCCTGGATGACTTCTGTCTTTACACATTTTTTTTTTCCTTCTTTTTTTTTATAAATAAGTCTTTACACATTAAAGGATGGATTGATGATTTGAAGGATGGCCTGTTTATGTTTTCAAGTGAAATGTATAACGTGTGATGACATTTCAATTGAAAACAAAAGGAGCTCAATGTCCATAGGCGCATGAAGTTGGATGGCCTGTTTTGTTGGGATCATTGTGCAAATGCTTGAACTGTCCAGTGGGTTGAACATGTCGATGTTTATGTGGTTTCGAGTCTTTTGATTCTTTCTACTTCTCTTGCTGGCAGTCTGTAGCCTGAATGTGTTCTCTATGTTTGACCCTGGCATATAGTTCGGTGGCCATCACTACCTAACACTTCTTCTAGGTTCAAGTGTTGTGGAAGGTGTTATCCCTAGAGCAAAAAATTTTGATTTGATTGCTAGCAATGGTATTAGTAGATATTAGACTGCATTTTAGTGTTACATTGAGTATTTCTTTGTCTTTTCTTTCTCAACTAATCAAATACTTTTGTCATTTTTATGTTGTATTAAGTTTTGGCATCTTTGGTTGAGGTTGCAACTTGATCATCTGGTCAAAGTTGTGAGAGCTGGCTTAGAATTTTAATTTCTTGAAGCTCAAAACTTTCTATAGGAAGAGTTGCCAATTTTCTCTCCCCTTTCCATTATAGCATCCAATTACTTATTTTCATTGTGAACTTAGCTGGCTTTTTTTAAAAAGTATCTTATGTCTTTTCTTACTAATGTCAGGAACTTATTAAAGATCAGGTTGCCAACATGTACTTGTGGCCCAAAACACTAGAAGTACCAATTTTGGACCCGGCGAAGTATTTTTCAACCTTAATCTTGACATTATATTATGTGGTCCTGATTAAACTTGTTGCGTTTTTTGTTGACAAAATACAATTGGGATATGCAGAGCTTACAGAAGACCTGTTGGCATTCTTCATGTGAAGGTTCTGAGGGCAATGAAGTTGAAAAAGAAAGATCTTCTGGGTGCATCAGACCCGTATGTGAAAATAAAGCTCACTGATGATAAGCTTCCATCAAAGAAAACCACTGTAAAGCACAAGAACTTGAATCCTGAGTGGAATGAGGAATTTAATTTTGTGGTTAAAGATCCGAGTACACAAACTCTCGAGTTTAGTGTTTATGATTGGGAGCAGGTTTGTTATTCCACTTTTATTGGGTAAAATATCACCCTTTTTTGTTTCCCTGTTGTTTAACTTTTTCCTGTTTTCTCAGGTTGGTAAACATGATAAGATGGGCATGAATGTGGTGCCTCTGAAAGATCTGACCCCTGAGGAGCCTAAAGTTATCCTCCTTGATCTCCTTAAAAACATGGATTTAAATGATCCTCAAAACGATAAATCACGTGGTCAGCTGGAAGTGGAATTAATGTATAAACCTTTCAAAGAGGATGAAATACCAAAAGGTTTTGAGGAGTCACAGACGGTGCAGAAGGCTCCTGAAGGTACACCTCCTGATGGTGGTTTGCTTGTAGTTATAGTTCATGAAGGTCAAGACCTTGAAGGGAAGCACCATACAAATCCACAAGTAAAGCTGCTGTTTAGAGGGGAGGAGAGAAGAACTAAGGTATATCATAAACACTGGCGAATGCATTTTCTTCTGGTGATTTCTTAAGTATTTCCTCTTCTTGTCTTGCAAGATCTTAAGTTGTTCCCTCAGAACTTATATTCTGCTTTCACCATATGGCAAGTTAATGAGAGTTCCATGGTTATTGAAAATTTACTTTGATAACCTGGAAGAGTCTCAACTTTCATTTTCTGAAAATATCTTTTTTGGGATTCCTTCCATTCTATGTTATGATCAGTAGCTATTGCTGAACATTGCTGCACTGACATGTTTTATCTTATTCAAGATTAGATCTGTTCTGGTAGAAGAAATTTGGCAGAATAAGAAATGTCTTTCACAAATGCCATACCTCATTTGGCTGTAGTCTTTTAAATGTGTTGGTCATATCTTGAGAATAATTTTTTTCATGGTGGTGTAGCAAGTGAAGAAGAACAGAGATCCCAGGTGGGAAGAGGAGTTCACATTTATGCTGGAGGAGCCTCCTACTAAGGACAAAATACATGTGGAAGTCATGAGCACCTCATCAAGAATTGGCTTGCTGCATCCGAAGGTATGACTGCATTATATTGTTTTAACCACTGTACTCACATCATTGTCACTTATAAACTGTTTGTGCAGAACATTTTGCTTCTATTTCTATCTACTGAAGTTAAGTGTTTGGCACTGGCAAGAGTTATCTAAGCAAATAAAAGATCTTGTGGATTAAAAAATTGGTGTGGCTTGAAATTTTTGGGTTTAGTACTAAAGGGATAAAATTTCCTCTGTATTATGCTTTGTGGATCACTAACATTATGATATAACCTAAGTCTTATTATACCAGAAATCTACATGTTCATATAGACCAGAACTCTACTTTGTAAGATTATAAATAGCATATATGTTTCATGAATAAAATCAACTTCAATAGTTTTCATACTTGTTCATGGTACCGGAGCCATATTACAAATATTTCTTTTCAAGCTTCCTATTGTTTGTTAGTTTTAGTCTTCAAGAAAAAGTATTATTTAGTTCTAATCCAGAGATGCAGCCGGCTTCCTCTCTCAACTACATGACACTTTGACCCACTTGCTCTCTCAATTTCAGTATTTCCTGACCAGCTTTTATCTGCTCAGTTGCAATTATCTCGCTTCTCTGCCATGCTATCATCATCAGTTTCTCTCTCCTGCACCAACACCAGCCTCTGTTTTGCATCACTCTCTTTCTCTCTTTCACAGCAAGATCAACATTATAACAGACGACCTCTCTCTGCAAGCATCTCTCTCCTCAGGCACCAATTTCTCTTCTCTGCCAGGACCAGAATAGCAACTGCACAATCTGCTTTTCTGTTAATGGCGTCTCCCTGATTGATCGACTGTCTGTCACAGCAAAGCAAAGTTTGTGCCTTTGTGATTGTCAGTTAGCTGCTGTTTTATGCACCTCTGTTTTGCTGTTGGAACCGCAATTCCTCCACAGGCTGTGCACTGCTGCTAGCTGACAGCTTCTTTTTTCGACACCTGAACAGCAGCTTTTGTTCTTTGCGACCTGCTGCCTCTCTCTCCTCTGCCCATCTATGCACCATTGAATTTTGACCAGCTGCCCAGAAAATTTTAAGTGACAGTTGCTGAGGTTGCCTCAATTTCTTCTCCTCTCATCCTCTGCCACCCTCATTTACTAAAGATGAGATTCTCTTCTTCCTCCACTGTAGCTGATTCATCTTCTTCCTCTTTACTTCAACTTTCTCGTGCTTTCACCATTCTTTTTGAGTTTCTAATATCAAGAATTATGTTAATGAGCAACTTGATTTCATTAATTATTTAGCCTGGAAATTGCTCTTTATCCCAAAGGCTACAATGTTCATAAACACATTGATCGTAGTAGTACATGTCCGGTTGAAACTCTCTTCGATTACGGGAAACAGGTACCCAATCCAGATGCTATCTTATGGAAGCAAGTTGATGCTCTAGTTCTTTCATGGATCTGAGCAACTCTCTTCCAACATCCTTCGAAGTCTTCTTAAGCCCAATGTCTCTCTCA